GAGAAAGAGAGAGACAGAGACAGAGGGAGAAAGAGAGGGGGGAGAGAGAGAGGGGGAGAAAGAGAGACGGAGAGAGAGAGAGAGAGAGAGAGAGAGAGAGAGAGAGAGAGAGAGAGAGAGAGAGAGAGAGAGAGGCAAAGGGGGGAAGAGAGAGAGAGAGGGGGGGGAAGAGAGAGACAGAGAGAGAGAGAGAGAAAGACAGGGGGGTGCATGTGTGAGTGTGTGTGTGTGTGTGTGCGTATATGTGTGTGTGCGTGTGTTTGTGTGCATGTCCAAATAAGGCAATAAGGGTGTTCGTATCTGGTTATATGTCCAGTCTAGCAACTGAGAATGAAAAATTCAATCTTTACCACAAAAATTAATTGAATGCTTTCAGATTTCAGGAAAATCAAGTTGCATTCTACACATTTTGAAATCAAGAGGGGAGGGGGGGGGGTGCAGATAGAGATCTTCAGCAAAGAGTCCATGGCCATGACATATTTATAAAGTACATTGCTCAGGCAGTTTGCAGAACTAAGGCCGAGCTCCTAGCCCAAGGTTTTTAAGCATCCTTATGATGTTTATGCTTTACTTTAGAAGGCAGGCTTGTCAAATACCACTACAGCACAGAAAGGCCATTGTTAAAAACAAGTGCTTTCTCTACACATTGATGAGGAGCAAGGTTTGCAATTAAATTACAAAAAAACTGTCTTTATTATACGCTTTCGGCATCCTTTATAATATAATAATTAATTCATTGGATCTCGAGGACGAGCTAGAATGTAGATCTAGATTCTAGATCCAGATCTAGTATTTAGATCTAGATCTAGATCTAGATATCTAGATCTAGATCTAGATCTAGATATCTAGAATCTAGTGTAAACTTGTTTAAACACGACTTGTCGGGCAGTCGTCTGATGAATGTTACATTGCAATCTATGCTCAATGCCATGCAACAAAATAAGCTATACCTACCCGTTTCTTGAGAATGTCTCCTTCTTTCTGAGCCTTGCCAAGAGGCCCGGGTTCTTTACTCCAAGGCGCCATCGTAAATTATTGTGTACAATAAGTTATCCCTGTTTCCTCCAAGATTACAACCGTGACGCCATTTGAAAATAATCCGGGCACTTCGTTGGTATCTATGAGCTATTGATGACTTTGTTCACGAAAGAGGTTAACTAGCAGTATTTAATCTAATTTTATCTCAACGAAGAGCATGCTAAAATTTTACTGCAATAACTGCCATCTATCGACTCAATGAAATTTAATTGGTGATGTAAACAACATGGCGGACTCTGCAATTCATGGATCAGTACGTTTAGTACATCAAAAATATAATTTCATGTTTTGTTTTCCGAATGATGAGTTGTTTTAGCCTGTCAATTCTATCGTTTTGTTAACATTTATTAGTTTTAAGGGTATATTTTGACGTGATTTGCCCTAAACTTTATAATACTAAAATAGCATTCACTGCTGTTGTTGGGGCCTAACCTAAGGCAGGTAAGGGTGCATACTACTGAGTACTAGAATCTAGATCTAGATCTAGATTGTAGATCTAGATCTAGATCTAGATTTCTAGATCTAGAATCTAGATCTAGTACTGTTCCCGAACACTGCACTGTTATGGATGCGTATGCTTCCCCAGCACTGGATTGTTATGGACGCGTACGGTAGATTCTACGCTTCAATAACACTGCACTGATACTGATAATTTTAGGGACGCATGCTCACGCTGCCACAGTTCTACGGAATTATTGGCCCGTATTTATGACGTTGACGTCACAGTAGTAGTATTAATAGTATCAAAGATTCTGTACTACCAAGATGTTTCAATTGCCTTATCTATCTCGCGTCCGGGCGTGACCTTGTCTTAGCGCGTGACAGCCCGTGATACGAGCGTAAAAACAAACTTTCCAGAGCTCTTCAGTTGAAGTTGAAAGTGTGCAATTACGTCTGCAGACAGAGAGAGAAAGAGAGGGGGGTGGGGGTGGGGAAGGTGAAAGAGAGAGAGAGAGAGAGAGAAGGGGGGTAGAAAGAGAAAGACAGAGAGAGAGGGGAGATGGAGAAAAAGAAAGAGAGAGAATGGGGGTAGACAGAGAGAGAAGGTGTGGGGTAGAAAGAGGGAGAGAAAGACAGAGAGAGAGGGGGGATCAAAAGAAAGAGGGAGAGAGAGAGATA